CCCTTAATGGTACCTCTTCAGGAACTCCTTACGGGTGCCGCAAATACCGTCACTTCTCTTTCAAGAAGCCCGAAACCTTACGTTGAACCCTGAAACCATAAAGCCCTAAACCCTGAACCCCTTATAGTACCGTCATAGAACCTGCAGGGAACCCCAAAAAAGGGAACCCGAATAGTTATAGTATAGGGGCCTTAATAATTAGAATGGGGTTTCGCGCTCCTTTTTGCATAAGCTAAGGAATAAATATTGGTTTGAAGGGGCCTGGGTCACTAAACCCTAACCCTAAGCCGAGTTTGAAGGAGCCTGGGTCACTCACCACGCAAGCCAGCTCGGCAAGCACGGCCTCTCGTGAGACGAGATCTTCCAGCAGACTGCCCATGGAGGACACCTTTACTTTGGGTCTTTAAGGATTGAGGGATTTAGGTCTTAGGGGTTTAGGGGCTTAGGGGTTCTTTAAGGATTGAGGGTTTAGGTCTATGGGTTTTGGGGTTTTGAGGTTTAGGGGTTCAGGACGTTTTGGGGTTTAGGGTTTTAGGGTTTAGGGTTTTAGGGTTTAGGCTTTACAGGCTATGGGCCTAGCGATTTAAGTCTACATGGCTTAGGACTTAGTGACTTTCGTGCCTTTGCTCTGAGCTGTGACGGCTTGGAGCTTAGTTCTTGGAGTGGAGGGCGCCGTTGCTTTGAGCTGCAGATTCTTTGGGCACTTAGAGATGTTACAGGTCTTGCTTGGGGGTTTAGGGGTTTAGGCTTCAGAGGTTGAGGGTTTAGGGTGGAGATGCAGAAACTTTCTGCAACCATGCTGCCAGTTGCTCTACAGCATTGCGAACATCCGCAGACAGCGGAAGCTTCACATCCCAGCGATAGTCTTCTCCATGCACCTGTCCAACCACTCAAGCTGCCATATGGGTCACTGTCGAAGTTGCCGCGCAGGACACCATTTAAAATTACGACAGCTACTGCTCAGCTTGCTACTATAAGGCTAATATTCGGTTGACATAAGGGTTACTGTAAAAGTTACAACTCATGGCTCCAAGGTTACGCTTACGCTTATTATTCTTGTTGCTACAGTACACTTCCCAGTTAGGGATACTAGAAGGGTTACGATTCAGGTTGAAATAAGATACGAGTACGGCTACCATAAGATACTGATAAGATGATCAAGGCTGCTGCACAGTACTGTTAATTCAGGCTACTGTAAGAGACGCGATTTAGGCTACTATAAGATACGCACAGACTTTTTAAAGCTACTGTAAAGTACTGTTAACCAAAGCTACTGTGATAAGGCTACTCTACTGAAGCTATAAGATACCTATAGTCTCCATTGTAGTTCCTTTGTTGGTTAACCAATTTTTTGGTGGGTTGGGATCTTATAGTATAACTTTGGTTATATAACTATAAACAGGAACTACATTGGAGACTATATATATAGGCACTACGGTTGATAATAAAAATCCTGCATCACCCGAATATACCATAATTCCCATAGTTTAGGGTCCTGAAGGTGATGCAGGATTTAATTATATCATCACCCCTATTCGGGCTACTGTGAGGGTCCTCGAACAACAAGACACAAGCGGCACGCTTCGGAACCGGGCTGAGGAGCGCACGGAACCCAGCTCCTGGGATGGAAGAACAAGCGAGCGTTGTAGGGGCGGCTTGGGGTTTTAGGGCTTTAGGGCTTTAGGGTTTTAGGGGTTAGGGCTTTAGGGCTTTAGAGTTTAGGGCTTTAGGGCTTTAGGGCTTTAGGGCTTTAGGGTTTTAGGGTTTAGGGCTTCAGGGTTTTGGGTTTTGGGGGAGAATCCTGGTTCCCCAAACAGTGTGGTAACGTTGCAGACTTGATTCAGTCACGTAGGCGCGCGCACGCCAAATTGGCTCCCCCTCCTATGATTTGCGCCGCGTCCGGTGCTTATTTTGTTTTGGCTGTGCTGCGGTGCAGACTGTTCGCTGGGGGCCCGAGCATTTACGGAGGATTCCGCGTAAATACTTCGACATGGGCCACTTTGGCTCTCGAAAGGCAAGCTAATGAGGGGAAAACGCGTTGTACTGGGGGGAATGCGTTTTGGCAGTGTCTTCGTGCTCTCCTGGTGCGGTCCTGCTGGTCTCCTTTCCTGGGGGTCTCTTGGTGATCTCCTGACGGTCTCCTGTTGGTGGTCTCTTGGTTGTCTGTTGGTGGTCTCTTGGGGGTTCTCTTCGGAGTCTCCCGGTGTGAATGCTGGGGGATCCACAGATGGCAACTAGTTGCGACCTCTGCTTCTCAAGCAATTATACAACGAATTCGCATCTGACGGTGGTCGGGACTTTCTGGTCCTAACGGCATGCTTCTGTTTGGTCTTGCACTGTTTGGGGATCTCTGCCTACCCTGATGATCACCTAAACAACACTGCCATCAGTATTCCTTGCAGTTCCTTACAGCAACCGTCATGGTAAACCTAATCGTAGCCCTGATAGCCCAAAGTAGGTAGCGCTTCTTGTCTTAGTACCTAAGTAATAGTAATCCTGATAGCTTAAAAGTAGTATAGGGGCTTAAATAGTTACCTGTACTATTTTGGGGGATCCTTATTAGAGTTATATTATAGTATAATATACACCGAAACCCTATTCTATTTATTAAGGCCTCTACATTAGGTCGCAGCCCAAAGCGCTGCTTGTCTCACGCGATCACGGGCAGCTTCGTCGGGCGCATCGCGCAGCTTCTGCTGCACTTCCTCGAGGAGACCATCGATCAGACCCTTGGCTCAAAAGAGGCTGCCGAACCCTAAACCCTAAACCCTGAACCCTAAACCCTGCACCCTAAACCCTAAACCCTAAACCCCAAACCCTGAACCCTAAACCCTGAACCCTTAACCCTGAACCCTTAACCCTGAGCCCGGAACCCTAAAGTTTAAAGCCTCAACCGCAACCTCAATAATTGGAATAAGGCTTTCTTGGGGATCGTGCCTTTACAGGAACTTGAGGGCGATATTGATAGTTAGTGCAACTAATTATTCCGACTTTTAGGGTAGATGACGAAGGGCACTAGCAATGCACGACACCATGTTGAGGAAAGACTGCGGACGAGATGCCGACAGCTGAGCGCACGCAAGGCTCGGCCGTGCATTCGGAATCATGCAGCATCCTGATAGTGCAGCACTTCGACCCTCATATTACCCTAAACCCTAAACCCTAAACCCCCAACCCTAGACCAAAACCCTAGACCCTAAACCCTAAACCCCCAACCCTAAACCAAAACCCTAAACCCTAAACCCCCAAACCTAAACCAAAACCCTAAACCCTAAACCCTCATATTATGTAAGCATGATGGAGCTGATGAGGCAGCGCAGCTTTTCTACAGCAATGCACAGTGGGCACCTCGCTCGACAACCATGGAAGTGCACTTGAGGGTGCTTCGCATCAGCTCCTGGCAACTCAATTCTCCACTAGTTGTCCTATAGACTAGCGTTACTACAAGCCCTAGACCCTAAACCCTAAACCCTCAAGCCCTAAACCCTAAAGCTCCAGACCCTAAACCCTAAACCTAAACTCTAAACCCTGAACCCTAAGCCCTAAAGCCTGGATCCTAGAGTGCCCAAACGGATCCCGATCCCCAGCAAATGTCCTCGGGCGCGAAGTAGGCAAAGTCTGGAACCTAAGAGTCCGCTAGGGCCGGAATACGTGAGGACAAAGCTTACAAGTAAGGTTTAGGGCTTTGGGTTTAGGGTTTGGGGCTTATATAGGGTTTAAGGTTTAGGGTTTAGGGTTTAAGGCTTAGGGTTTAGGGCTTTGGGTTTAGGGTTTAGGGTTTAAGGTTTAGGGCTTAAGGTTTAGGGCTTAGGGCTTTTTTTTAAGTGCTTTGGGACTTTCTCTCCGCAGAGGTCGAGCCACAGCCATTAAGGCCAGCACTACAAATGAAAAACCCTGCCCTCAGAAAAGACACCCTCCAGGAAGAAGTGGCTCACTGACTTAGGGTTTAGGGTTTGGGGCTTCGGGTTTAGAGTTTAGAGTCTATAGGGTAGACTGAACACCCGTTGCTAATGATATGGAGCACTGTACTCTTACACCGTCACCACCAATACCACCACCCAAGTAATGGTCATAACAGGTGCCATCACAAGAACGAAAGTAACACCATCTCGCGGAACGATTCATAAGGTTTAGATACTAATTAATGATCATACTCATCCCTTTGATGTCAACAATGGCAATGCGAACACCGCACCCGTGCACGAAATAGAAAAGTATGGGAGTCCGGTTCTCAGTCTCAGCTTCAGAGTTTCCAGGCCTCCCAACTTACCCCCCTCAACCCTAAACCCTAAACCCTAATCAGGTCACTTACTACAGGTGGCCCCACCCATGGCGTCGAGCCTGGGTTCAAGGGGACAGGGATAATCGGGACCATCCGGCAATGGGAAATTCCACGCGAGCTCACACAAGCCCTGGAACCGCAGTTTCTTGGCCAGAAAATTAGGAAAGTAGACGCCTTTAATAGTTAGAATAGGGGTCTGAGCTCCTGTTTTGAATAATTACACTAAGGAAAACCTATGGCATGATCTTGGACAATTTTTCAGCTTCTACACTACATGAATATACCTATTGTGTTTTGACTTGAATTTCTGAAGGAGAGATTCCTGCTCGACATCAACAAGTCATAACGAGTATGGTGCTGGACAGAAGGATCATGATAAGCAGCACCTAAATCCCAAACCATACAACCCCCTAAGCCCTAAAACCCCAAACCCTAAACCCTAAACCCAAACCCCACGACCCTGCACACCCAAAACTCAAAACCTACAAACATCCTGAAACCCTTAATCCGCCGAAACCCGGAAGCCCCAAACGTCCCAGAGTCAAACCTCAGAACTCCTTCGGGTTGGGGGCTTTGGGCTTAGGGTTTAGGGTTTGGGGTTTAGGGTTTGGGGTTTAGGGTTTAGGGTTCAGGGTTTAGGGTTTAGGGGGCCTTCGGGGGGCCCTTAAAGGAGCCCTTCAACGAACACTGAAGCCGAACCTGTGTCTTGCGAAGCGGCTGGGTTCTCTTCGACTCCAAACCGGCCGACTGCCAAAGCCCCTCCTTCGATACTTAGGGGTTTAGGGTTTAGGGGTTTAGGGGTTTAGGGGTTTAGGGTTTAGGGGTTTAGGGGTTTAGGGTTTAGGGTTTTCTTACCCTCTGCAAGAATGATAATGGTAGCTGTCTCTTAGGGTTTCTAGTCACCAAACATGTAAAACAAACTATATCTTAAGCTCCTTAGGGATTATAGCAACCAAAAAAGTTAAATTCCTAAACCCTAAACCCTAAACCCTAAATCCCTAAACCCTAAACCCTAAGCCCTAAAACCTAAACCCTAAACACTAAACTCTAAAACCCTAAACCCCTCGAGGTCCTCTTGGCCCCGCAGGCACCGAAGGCTCCTGCTTTTGTCCACCGCGGCCAGGTCCCTCGATACCCTTCTGGCCCGTGAAGCCTTCGAGTTTAGGGTTTGGGGTTTTTGTTTTTTTACAGTTGGGTTGACTCTTTTACGTCTGCCCGATGTAGGCTCCCAACTACAGACCACCAACTTAAGCAGGTGACCTGAGAAAACAAAACTCTCCCCTCAAGTTCTCCTCAGGTGAATCGTGTAATTGGCGCGGTTTCGGGGTTTAGGCTTTAGGGTTTGGGGTTTCGGATTTAGGGTTTATGGGCTTTGGATTTAGGGTTTAGGGTTTGGGGTTTTGGGGTTTTGGGGGTTTTGGGGTTCAGGGTTTAGGGAGGCTCGACTTTCCTAAACTGCCTCCCAAAAGACCCCTATAAAACCCCCTAAAAAAGGGCGAACATCCCGAAACCCCAAAAACCCTAAGCCAAACTGCCCTAAAACCCCCTAAATAACCTTAAACAGGGCCACTATCCCGAAACCCCAAAAACCCTAAACCATAAGCCCCAACATCCCTAGACCCCTAAAGCCCCTAGCAATCTGCCAGCCGAGGTGCTTGCGATCCAGTTGCTCTTGCCCAGGCCACCTTTCAGGCCGACACCCTAAACCCAAAACCCCAAACCCCAAACCCAAAACCCTAAACCCAAAACCCTAAACCCTAAACCCTATAAACTCTAAACCCTAAACTTTAACCCCAAGCCCAGGCCACCTTTCAGGCCAGGTCCTGTCTGTCCTTTTCCTTTGCCTTTCCCTTTCTTCAGAAATCCTCAGGGCTTTAGGGATTTAGGGTTCGAGGCCTCAGGTCAGGGGTTTAAGATTAAGTGTTTAGGGTCTTGGGGTTTAGGGCTTTCGGGTGTATGGGTTCGGGGTTTAGGGGTTCTGGGATGTCGGGTTTCAGGGTTTTTTGGCAACAAGGATTTCGGGGCTGGGGTATGCCCTAAACCCTAAACCTTAAACCCTAAGCCCTAAATTTTAAACCCGAAACCCTCAGCCCTCAACCCTAAATTTTAAACCCTAAACCCTAAGCCCTAAACCCTAAATTTTAAACCCTAAACCCTAAACGCCTAAAGGGTGTCGTCACTGGAACTCCATGGCTGGGCCTGGTGGTGGTGGGAGGTCCGGAAGAGTTTCCGGATCTTCCAGGAGCTTCCACCTGAAAGGGCTCTGCTTAGGGCTTACCTGTAAGGGTTTTAGGGTATATAGGGTTTTAGGGGTTTTAGGGTTTTTAGGGTTCCTTATTATGGTTTCTATATATATATATATATGGCTCTGTTTAGGGCTTACTTGTAACCGAAAAGACCTACCTTTTTGGGGTTCCTTATTATGGTTTCTATTGCTCATTAAAATGGTAAGTCTTTTCGGTTACAGGTGGGGTTTAGGGTTGGGAGGGGTTGGGAGAGAGAGTGCGAGCGAGCAGAGATGCGCACCGGTCTCTGCTTGCGTCAGGCCACGGCGCAAGAGGCTTCCCGCCCTCCAGAGCGGCAAGGCCTCAAACAACTCGTGACAAGCAGTACTCTCCGCTTGGACTCTAAACCCGATTAAAACCCCGTAAACCCGTAAGCCAAAACTCTTAAAATCACGTAAACCCTAAACCCTAGAACCCCGTAAACCCTAAACCCTGAACCCTACAACCCCGTAAACCCTCAGTCCTAGAACCCCGCAAACCCTGAACCCTAAACCCTAGAACCACGTAAAACCCTAAACCCGAAACTGCCCAGCCCTTCATTCGGGCCAGGTTGCGGGAGGGCACCAGGACATCGCAAGCACCGGGCGGCAGCGCCAGAAATTTCGATCCCAGTTCTGGGCCCTGACATGACAGGAAGGCTTAGGGGTTAAGTGTATGCTCGGCTATGTCGATGATGTTAAGGGGTTTAGTATACGTTCATTATTACCACAAATATGTTAAAGGACTTGGCAGATGTTCAGTACTATTGTATTTTATTGCGGGGGGGGGGGGTATAGTGTATAAAATAGAGCCTTAACACATAGAATAGGGTAGGGTATATTCAGCTATGATTATAAAAAGGAACCCAGCATAGTATGGGCAATTATTTAGACCCTATGTTACACAAACTCTCCCCAAGAGCCTCTGCAACGCGTTTTCGGAAGATGCAGCTGACCAGTCGTGCCAACCTCAAGAAAGGAGCAGTTCAACTCTCTAAATTAGGGTCGCTTTTATAAGGGTGCCGTACTAGATTGGGGACACAAAATAGGGACCCTAATGTAGAAAACTACCCTGCGTTTACCTCCCTATCCGTACAGCCGATCAAGGCACAGTGTTGAGTTGTCAATGATGTCAACAGTCATGATTCATCCGACGCCATATGCTCCCAGCCGTTGATCCGTCCGCCAATTTAATCGTGGATGTCTGGGAGTGCAGAGCAATAACATAGTGGCCTTAATAATTAGAATTGGGTTTTGGAGTATACTATACTATAAGTATAAGAAGGAACCCCCAAAATAGTACTGGTAATACTTAGGCCCCTATAGTATCTTTTCTTCACCGTTGAATGCTGCATCTGTGAGCCAATTAGCAGGAACGAGCGGCGGAGATCACAAGCAGGAGAACCATGACCGCTGGGAGAGCCACGGGCTTGTGCGCAAGGTTATAAGTACTTTAGTTAGGGCTACAAATGGTTGTTTTTTATGACTTCTGAACCTGGTGACTAAGATTTACTAAGTCCCATGATCCTTGAGGGCTGCAGACAGAGGTGCCTCCTCTGCGATTTGGATGGCCTCCTCTATCTGACCTTAGAAGCAAGAGCGAGTTTAGGGGTTTAGGGTCTTAGGATTTGCGGCGCAACACAGACGACTAAGGCAATCTTGACTTTCGGGCAGGGGCCTTTCATCGCAACGAGTTCGGCAAGCCGCCTGGGCTCAATATCCAGACTTCGCCGTCTGCCAAAACTCTAAACCATCAACCCCGGATTAAGCTGCGCACAGTTTGGCCTGCACAAGACCAGGCACGACGATTTCTGCACTCAGTCGTCAAACTTGCTGGTGCTTAAAGGAGAGTGGATCCCTCTACAGTAGACCCTATATAATCCGTTATAATAGCTCCTACATGCCATCCTCCACTCTCCCTTGGCCCTTTGCTTAAGCACCAGCAAACACCATCGGGCCTTGATCTCTTCCCCTAGACCCGAAACCCCATAAAACCTGAACCCTAAACCCTACAAACCCCATAAATCCTGAACCCTAAACCCTACAAGGCCTAAGCCCTAAAGCCGAAACCCTCAGTCCCAAACTAACCCTAATACCCTAAGTCCTACACCCTAAACCCCATAAGTCCTAAGCCCTAAAACCCTAAACCCCAAACCACCCTATAGGGCCTAAGCCCTAAACCCTATAAGGCCTAAGCCCTAAACCCTAAACCCCAAACCACCAGCAAGCGCCGCCGGGCCTTAATCTCCTCTTTCTTGTCTGCCTCGTTTTGCCACAGACCTTGGGCCTGGCCATGCCGCAGATCTCAGAGAGCCCATCCCTCGAGGAGTATAAGGATTTAGGGTTTATAAGGGTCTAGGGTTTAGGGTTTATAATAAGGGTTTAGGATTTAGGGTTTATTAGGTTCTAGGGTTTAGGGTTTATAAGGGTTTAGGGTTTAGGGTTTATAAGGATTTAGGATTTAGGATTTAGGATTTAGGGTTTATAAGGGTTTAGGGTTTAGGGCTCATAAGGTTTCAGGGTGTAGGGTCTAGGGTTTTAAGGTCTTAGGGTTTAGGGTCTAAGGTTTACAAGGATTTCGGGTTTATAAGGGTTCAGGGCTTAGGGTTTATGAGGTTTTAAGGTTTAGGGTTGAGGGTTTATCAGGGTTTAGGGTTTATAAGGTTTTAGGGTTTAGGGTTTACAATGTTTAGGGTTTAGGGTGTATAGGGGTTTAGGGTTTATGAGGTGTTAGGGTTTATTGGAGGGTTGAAAAGCGTTTAGGGTTTACAAGGGTTTAGGATTTAGGGTTTAAGCCAATACTGTAAGCTCATACTGTTTCTAAGCCCCAATAAATCCTTAAACCTTATAAGCCCTAAACCCCTACACCCCTGAAGCCCTAAACCGCTATAAGACTTAAACCTACATAAACCCTAAACCCTAAACCCCAACCCCTAAACCCCAAACCCTCCATCAACCCTCAACCCTAAACCCTAAAAACCCTCCATCAACCCCAGAGCCTCCTGAGGCCCCCGTTTATAAGCCCCGATACTCCAAGGCCCCTTTAAATCCGAAACCCAGCGGCCTTAAAACCCCAAATCATGAAATAAAAAAAACCTATAAAACCGTGTAAAGCCCGACTAAACCCCCACTAAACCCTAAACAATCCCTACTAAACCCCGACTATACCCTATAAAACCCCTGCTATGAATCCCTATAAACTCCCCCAAAAAACCCTTAACCCTAAACCCTAAAGCCCTAAACCCTAAACCCCTGCAGCTTTCTGCCCGCCTTGTCGGCTGCTTGGTGACCCTCGTTGAGGTTGCCGTACTCCATGCAGACACCAGCAAGCCTCGATTCTGTTAGGTTTAGGCTCTAGGGTTTAGGGTTTAGGGTCTAGGGGTGTAGGGCTTTAGGATTTAGGGCTTTGAGGAATATTTAGGGTTCGGGGTTTTAGGGTTTAGGGTTTAGAGTTCAGCGTACACTTCCGTTCTGCTTCATGCTCCCGCCCTATTCGGCACCCGAAGAAGCAGGGTGTCGGGCTCATAGAATGCGGCGGCTTCCTTGCGGCCCTCTCCGGTCTGCTGGTAGATGGCAATGGCCTTGACTCTAACTCGAGAAGACTGAAAGAAGCCGGGACATCCAATGCGCGCGCGCCTCCCGCACTTCCTGGCCAGAGGAGTCGGAGAGTTTGCTTTTCGGGAAGGTGGTGTATGCACCCCTGCCTCCCTCCCTAAACTCTAAACCCTACCCTCCGCACCTGAACCGCGGACTCGGGGTCATTGAGCCTGAGGTTAATCCGGGAGACCTCCGATCAAAGGCACAGAGCCATGAGTTTGACTTATGTGGCAGCCAGGATCTTCCAAAATTCCCTTAACTAGGGTTGAGGGTTTGCGGCTTAGGGTTTAGGG